CCGGGGGTTTACTACGGGTCGTGATGTATCAAAACAATCCTTTTGCAGCTATTTGCAGATAAAGCAGCTGCTAGTTACTACTTGTCATTTGATTCAATGTCTGGATACCGTTCTCAATTTGACTTCCGATAAGTTTCAGTCGTTCTTCACTACTCTACTGGAGAATAGTCGGAGATTGTTAGCTATTGAGAAATGAAGTAAAAACAAGTGTGCTATTTTATTGGTTGACGGTAAATTCTCTTTGTGTTTTATTTTGATTCTTGAATCTCAAAGGTCCTCGAAAGCCTCACGTTCAAGGCATGTTGACGAGGTGCAAGGCTCTGCCCGTCGGTACATTTACGCGGTTCATTCGCCGAACACTCACTTTGTGGGTGGGTGTACGTTTTATGTCCTCTTTCAACAAACTGGCATTTTGATCAGTTGAACAGTTAGAGGCTGGACATTGATAATCGGATAGAGCATCTATTGTTGTAAAATTGGTAAGTAGTTTCAGTTGATAAAATCGTCTTCGTCAGAGGCAGGGCCCGGCACAGATGGTTTGGGGTCAAACTGGACTTCTTGGAGTGAGAACAAAGGGGTTATCGTAAAATTTGCTATACATAGATTTGAGTGACTTCCAAATATGCTAACCAGTTGGACGTAAATGACATGCTCTAACGTATCCTTTCTCATCAAACGCGCCAAATTCGAAATGATGCTCAAATAAACAAATGATTTCTTTACAGGGCACAAGCAATCACATGACACCGAATATAGGATATGTGTACGGTATTGCTCCAATCTCATTATGTAAAAAGTTTTAAAAACCTATGTGCCCTTACCGCTTCCGAAATTGTTGGTTTCCAGACCATCACCAGCATAAATAAAGGAAGACACACGATGCGCACGATGCACATTGAAAGAATTTTGGAGAGTTTTAATATTTTAATATTATTTCACCCCTTGCTTTTGAAACTCTAATGGCATACAGAAGTGGCTTCGGTATGCCATCACCGTTCATACCTATAAGAGACAGCGCCGGAATACATTTCTAGGGAAATACAAGAACAGGAAAAGCACAAGTAGAGGCAAAGAAAAAAACTGTGCTGAAAACTTACTGTCCTTCTCGTAGTATGTGTTCGCCAGTAATAGACTTCCTCTGAAAAGAGAAAATGTGCACCCTTCTTGACAATTTTTGAGAACTTGAAAGAGTTGGCATTGTGATCTTCAGACTCATCTGTGATTGCAGATTAATAAGCGATGAACTTAACCTTAAGTTTGAGTACAAGTTTGATTAAACCACATTTGAATAAAGATAACACAGAATTTTTTGACCTTTGGTGAGGCTCTTTACATTTGAACAATTCGACGAAGACCCAGACCAAGCAATCTAAAATACGAACTCTCTCACACTCCACGCTGATTGTAGTGTAGTTCAAACGACCGCGCTAATGTTGTTTCATGTGATTTAAATACTGGACTATTATTATGCAAACTCATTGGAAGAGCTTAGCTGAGGTGCTGCCCAAAGCGCAGCTCATAGAAATTATTCTTTAATTATGAGCTCGCAACGTTTACGAGCAGAGTACAGGATAGAGGACGTCAGGTCGCCAAAAGAGGAGGTCCCGCGCAGACTTCTGCTCTGCAGCAATTGCGCACTTCTGTCCATCACAGCTCGTGGTACCCTACGGGTTGTTTCATACCGCAGTCGCTGCAGCAGCAGCAGTCAATCGATCGATATTTTTTGCCCGCCCCCATATGACTGCAGCAGCTGCAGCGACTGCAGTATGAAACAATTTTAAGACACTTGAGCAGCGGCTTTGTCTCAACCAGAGCTTTCAATGGTTTCCACTCAAAGGCACCGTGCACCCTAAGTTGAGGGTCTCGAGCTTTTGGCAGCATATGATATTGGGGCTCTTTATCAAGCTAATGCCCAAGTCGTAGCTCAAAATATCACTTCGGAAGCGAGAAAACACGAGAGAGTTTTCACAAATTAAGCGTTCTGTTAGATGTTTTGATTTTTGGTAAGAAATAACAACTTACTAATTGACTTATTTCGGAAATCACTGGTTTACTCAAAAGAATTTCGGAGAAAAAGTGCGATAACTTTATGGCAAACTTTTAATATACAGCAAATAAAGTGGTCTTCTTCATCGTTTCAACTTGATTATGCTTTTTTCCTAAACAATTGTTAAGGCTATTTTCCTTTTGTAACTCAATGTCAAGATATTCATTGAGATTGGCGGAAGTCTGTTATCAAAATAGGTTCTACGATTTCGACGAATTTGTGTGGCATATGTAGATGGAATATTGGAAATACGTACGTACTATTTGACTTTATGATTATGGCTCCCTCTCCCCGATCTCGCAAATTTCATGCATTATTTTTGTGGTAGTTCATCTAACTGCAAAAAAGCTGAGTAGTGATCGTTTATACACTTATAATTAGCAGTGATCTGGCCAACATTTCAAAAATTAAAAAAAAAATCAGTAATCATGTAACTCATACCTTTCATACATCATATATTGGGTTGGTGCAAAATTAATGAGCGTTTTCCTAGGACTTTTTTCAGAACAACTTTTCTCCATCAAACTTCTTTCTTTGTAACGGTTTCCGAATACTGTTAGAAAGCTCTTTTCATGCTCTATCTAATGGTGTTCGAAATGGACTTTTATCCCACTTTGTTTCGTTGCCTTCATTTTTCTATGTAGAATTTGAGCGCGAATGAAGGTAGGAAAATTTAGCCGCTATATGTAATGGAAATTGTCTACATTATGCATATTTAATCATATTTTTTGAAGATATCTGAAGTGAGATATCGGCGGCTTAACATGGGTAATGGTTGTGGTCATTTTAGAGCCCAGAACTTTCTTTTGTATAATGCAGTCGCTCAAACTTTGCTCATCTCTGTAAGCGTGAGGGCAGAATCCTATTAGCAGTTTTTGCAAAAACATCCAGGTGTTCAGTACGCAGAAAATTAGAAAATTCTATACTTCGAGGTTTTGAGGTTTACTGAAAATGCTAAAAAAGTTGATAATTTTGAATTTCGATTTTTCCCTCTTCGCTAATCTTATATCTCCAAACCGTTCCATGTATATTTGTACTACTGGCTTGTGGCTACAACATAAGCTGCTTATAAATGGTAACAACAAAGTATGAAAGGAGTTATGTTTTATCAACAAGACTTCAGAAAAAAATTTTTTTTTGTTTTTCAATCCATATTTTTCTGCCCATATGAGATATGAGCATAGGTCAATATGCGCTGTACTGCGAAAGGATCGCTGCATCTGACGGTCTTTATCACATTTCAAAATGTCGATTTTGTAGAAAGTTACAGCAAGTTAAAGTGAAAAATTGAAAAACGCTCATTATTTTTGCACCAAGCTAATATATTTAGCATACTGTTTTGAGACGTTTGAGTCTTTCAAAGATTTTCTCTAGATCTCAGGCCATATTTTTTGCTTCTCTCAGATATCCAAATTATTCTGAGACCTCAACCAGCATAAAACTTTTTTTTGCTTGGCAATGTAAATCAAAGCTATAGAACATCTCTCTCATTCTAGAAAAGATCATGCTTCCACTTGCCAAATTGTTGATGCTGATGCTTCTATCGCAAGTTATAGTGGAGGTGACCCCAGGGAATTATAACGACGATTTCACACCAAAGTGCCACCCTAACAAGGAACTTGCTAACAGTTACTGTGCTTCGGATTGCAGGAGAGAACATGTAAGTCTTGGTCTTGTATTCTATCATAATATATAAAATCGTACGCCAAATTCAAAAAGCGGCACAGAGCGGGAAAGCGAGCGGTGGTCCCGGCGCGCGCCCCCTGTTTTTCACGGCTGCCACCGCTCGCTTTCCCTCTACAATAAGGAGAAATATTTGGCTATCTCTTTGTCAGACATTCGCAGTTAAGTCCCGCCGGAGATCCGCCCACAAAATGAGATTTCGCGAGAAAACCGGGAGTCTTGCGCGACTCCCGGTTTTGTCCCGAGTGGAAATAGGAAGTGAATCAATACTGACGCGCAATAGCGTCAAAATCGATGATCGTTACTTTCGGTAATCTCCCGCCACTTTTTAACTGTCGGGATTGTCCCGAAAGTCGGGAGATTACCGGGAGTCGCGATCATCGATTTTGACGCTATTGCGCGTCAGTATGATTCATTCCTATTTCCACACAGGCTGTTTGCTACTCCACCATTAGGTTTTAATGTTAGCTTTTCCCAATCTAGTATATGTATCTCTCTCCCTGAGTGTAGACTGCAAATGCCCTTTGGTCATACATTACAATTTCATGCAAGTTTTTCACTTCGTACATCGCACTGCTAGTCATACACACCGTCACAAATCCATACTTCTATATACAAACTTTGTCTTTGTCATTCGTATCATTCGCAGTTTACACTGGATTCCCATTTTCTGATCACTTCCTGCTCTGTTCGGATATGAGAAAACAAAACAGTTCTCAACATAGGCCAGTGGGATACGTAAAACTCATTATTCAGTGCAATTGCACATGCATACACACGTAATCTTACGCCAAAGAAAAGTAAGTTATTTGTTATCATCCCAATACCTTTTGACCCTGCGTTATGCGATTGCTTAATGTGTAGCATTTGTGCGGATATTCGACTATACACGTAGTATAAGCACATCGTCACATAATTATTTTCCATATGCAAAGCTTGGCTGTGGGCATGGGCATTCATATCAATCGCGGTGTATACTAAAACCTTTTTCGATCATTCAATGCTCTATTTTGGGTAATAACATAACGTACATAACATGCGTCATATCACATAGCGAAAGGCAGCGAAGTTACTTTACGGGCAGGACATGTATTTGAGCGAAAGAATTTCACGGTCGTGGAAATTCAACGGATTTCCTCCATTCAAGGTTACCTATTGTAGTTGTTATTGATACAGCAGCACTTAATTTTGTTTCAGAATGCTAACATGATCAATATTCGAGAACTGGACGCAGCCATCAAGGGCACACAAGAATGACCATTTTTTGCTAATGATGGATTTTTTAGGTTCTAATTTTGCATGTAAGTGAGACTAAAATTTCGAGTCTATCCTGAAGAGGGGCGCACTTAGGCATGCGAGCCAAAACAAAAAATCCAAAAGTTTGCGTGCAGACAATCCGGTAAAAGAGGAAGAGTTCCGCATCTGCAGGACCTGCCTGAAAGTCTGGTCACATTTTTGATAAGTAAGTAATTGATGGTCTTTCTAAAAATTCTAAAATACATCTTCCAGATTTCGTTCTTGATGGTGTTGGCCTATACGCAGAAGAACTGCTGATGAGTGCTACCGAATGCGCGCGGCAATCAAATAGGTATAGATAGAAGTGTTTCTACCCCTTGATATCTCATTGATTTAGATCTTGGCTGGGCCTAGGGAACGACGATGAGGCTAGGACGAAGACGTTTGACAAGTTGTCAGAGGCGAGGATGAAGCTTAATGAATTAGCACGAGTGGCTATAGGAAGAGCTTTGTGGGTTTCTTTCAAAGATAGTCTTCATGAATCTATTGAATTTGAAGTTCAGAGGTGACGTGCGCGCCTACCAGTTTGATGCTGATAAGGAGATGTTGTTGCCACCTTCTGTAATATTCATATATGTTTTTTCAAATTAGTGTTAGATTGTTATTTTTTCCAGAAAAAGCGTTTTTGCTTTACTACCACGCAAGATTCTTTGGCACACGAGCAGGCTAATGAGTCGGAGCATAAACAAGACGAAGAGATTGAAAATATGAAGTCAATTTGAATTATGGATTCAATCTCAAACATTGATCTCGACATTCCTGTTTTTTTCTGTTCACTTAGTTATAGTGATTTCAATGTTCTTTTTCTGTCACGAATGCTAATAAAGAGTGCTTCTGAACTCTGTGTCGAGCACAGCACCTTTGTCTCAGACATTCGCAGTCAGGTCCCGACCATTTTACTTGTGTCCCGCAGTCATTCCAGCGCGACACAACTTTTTCACCAGCGGGACCTGACTGCGAATGTCTGAGCTGTCGTTCTTGTTCTTTTCAGCGCATTCACTCCGCATATTATTACAATCAACGTTCTCTTTGTTTGCGTTCTCGCATTCTAATGCTTCCTCAGCATGGGATCGTCATCATTTTTCCTGCTGGCCTGCGCACATAAAATGTTCTTTGGAGACCGCAAGAAGGAGCGGTATGTCGGAGAATCAGGAGATGGACCGGACAACGAGAAAATACGCAAGAAGGACGGCACCTGGTTACCTGCATCGAAGACAGACCGTTATAGAGATTCGAAGAAGAAGCAAAATGGTTACAAGAAGGTCTTTCAAAAAATTTTGTATGTAGTTCGCACTTTTTTGCATGCTACGCTTTGTAGCACGACGTAGATGGTGATGAGCAGGAAGCAGGGCCATCCAGTGAAAGCAAATTTGGGCGGTTAAAGGCAGTATCCAGGCAGATCTGGACCTATTGGCCTTTACGTGGAAAGTATTTTTGGGCCCTAACTAAGGCACTGCCCAAGCGGCAGCACAGGTAGTGCTCTAAAGGCTGAGATATTCTCCTCGAAACTGGCCCCGCGAACGTATTCGCATGGGTTCATGGCAGTTTCGCGCCAGGATCTATGCTTTGCGCCGTGACTTCATGCGAAACACGGTCGCGGGGTCCAGTTTCGAGGGGAATATCTTGTCCATCACAGCACTACCTGAGCTGCCGCTTGGGCAGTGCCTTAGTTAGGGCCCCAAAAGTACTTTCCACGTAAAAGCCCCATAGGCCCAGATTTGCCTGGACGCTGCCTTTAAGTGGAAAAACGTCAAGTAGCACCAATCGAAAATTTGTATTCTTTGTCGTTCTGAGTTTAGTTCCATCTGTTCCCGTTTTCTCTCAATGACTGCATGCTGTGCGCTATTTATTTGTTTGAGATTCTTTTCATATTCCTTCCCATTACTTGCATAGAATTGGCTCATTCAAAGTATTTACTGAGTTCAGCTCGAGTATGGCGTTCAAATATAGCGCATTTCCAACTTGTAACTATTAACCAGTTTTCTTTTCAGAAAATGATGCGCCATTTTGTTGCATTTTCCTTACTGTTATTCGTTTTGGAAATCTCAGTCGAGGCGAGGGTAGCAAGCCTGGATGAGGCTAAAATTTCAATTTGCTTCCTTAACTGCAAAGGACGTTGCTTGAAACAATCAGTATGCCTATTTACTCATCTATTCCAGTCAACAATTTAAGAAGATTCATTGAATTGAAATTCAGAATTGCCGAGAACACTGCTTAAAAGTAAAAGGAAAAATATCTTCCCGCAAGTGTGTCTGTGAGGATTGTCCCGGTGGTCAACAGACGAAGAAACTGCCTCCTTGAAGATGCACGTCTTTTTGCGCAAAATACCAAAATGAAGTTGTTATGGTGCGACTTAATCAATGTTTTCACTACACAACGATATTATTCAAGTTATCGGCAATTTTCACATCTTAACAATGTACGAGGGAATAGCTGCTGTGCTTATTTTACCATGCTAACACAATTCTGTTCTTTGTCCTGTCAAATGTTTAAAACTAGTAGATTCATGGAAGTGCACGATGAATTACCAATTGAAAAACACACATTTGCGATTTTCTCGCTAGCATGTCCACTGTCAGCATTATACCGTCGATGACCGCGTGCATACGCGCGCATGCGCGCCGGAGCTCCCATTTAGCACTTTCGTGAATAGTCCGTACGTATGCACACTGGTTTTCAGGTGAAAAAAATTGCTAAGGTAACATATGCAGTAAGAATACTGGTGACCCGATTGTCATATAGTGTCATCGCGGTAGCTCCACAAAAGTTTAGAACGCAAATTTAGCTATCAAAATATGTCAGTTGTGTTTTATTGACAAGGGAAGCATACTTGAAAAAAGTGGAATTTCCATGTGAAAAGTGCAGTGTCTTATAGGTCATGGAACGCTGACTCTGAATCTGCGTTTTTGTTATCTGCATTTTTTTGGAAAGGGAATAATGGGAATGTTTTTAAACAAAATTCAAGAGCTTGGCTGAGGCAAAAACAAGCGTTGAGTCTTGCCAGTGTTTGAAAAAAGTAATGAATAAATTATTGGACTGAAGCTAATAATTACACTGAGCACCTTGGCAGTAATCATAGCTCCGTTTGAGCTCACAGGCTACACGGATGATTTTATTGTAGCTGCGGATCCAAATTTCTGCTTAAAGAAAGTCCCATAACTTTTCTTCCGAAAGAGAAATTGACGAATAATGCAAATAACGAAAGCAGATTTGAAATCAGTGTTCCATGCTCTTCAATACAGCATACAGTTCTTATGGAAACGCCATTTCGATCAAGAACCTTTCCCTTGTGAGAAGGGTTGGAAGTACAGCTGTCCTGAGAGCGATCAAAGATTAACTCAAGCAAAAAACACTTGATATTATAACGCCTTCCTTGGAAAGAGATTTTCCCACATAGCCATTGCATAGCTTATTGAAGGGGGAAATGAGGGAGAAATCTTCGTGTATGTAATTTTTATTAGGACTCTGTAAGATACAAGTAATTTTATAGTTAATAGTTTGCATGTTTTAAAAAGCGCCAAAAAGACACACAATGATTTTGTGCATACGCGTGTATGCACGATCATTATATGAGATTTTTTTCTACAGTTATTCAAAATACACGCACATTTTTTTTCAAAATCAATTCAAAATACACGCACATTTTTTCTTTCAAAATTACTGAATCACAGAACATGTCAGTAAGGGGGGGGGGGTCGTCAATCTGTTACATCGGGCCAAACTGCAATTACGCACATCTTCAAAAATCTGCTTACAAGTAGAAAGAAACACTTGAAACGCAGATAAATCGCAATCAGATTTTTTAGTGGAAGGTTCACAATCAAACCCGTGATTGTCTTCGGAATTGCTTTATCTTCAATTGTCCACAAAAATTGAATGTCTGCATAGGCAGAACTTGCCAAAGTAACGCATCACGAGTAGTACCAACGTTGACTTTGTTCATATGACTGTTGGCTAAGACTTTTAATCCAAAAGTCTTCTTTGGTAAGTTGATAAGCAAAAGCTATCTACGTAAAATTGCTCTGCTTATTTTAGTTCTCGTTAATGACCCGATCAAAAAATGCACTCTAAAAACAAAATTCCTCATCAATGTTGTCAGAAGATAGTAACACTTGGATGCCATGTATCCGAACTTGTAGAGCTACAACTACTTAGCCAAAAACGAAAATAAAAAGACGCAAACTCTTCGCGTTTGCCGCTCTCCTTACCACAAGAGGACAGCGTCTGGTTCCGCTGGTATACAGGGCTTGTTAACAGGCTGACGCTCGGTCTATAGTCAGAGGTGGTTTTGACTCACTCCAAGGAAAGGTGTGGGAGGTCACAAAAACAAAAAAAAATTCTAGCTTCGCATTGCAGATGTACGCAAACTATTGCGACTAAAACCGTCGGCTCATAACGCGCAGCATAGCCTGCTATTTTTTGCGAGCAAAGCAGCCTTGTCTTGGAATGAAAGAAGCGATGTCTAACGTTCCGTTTATTTTATTGAAAACTAGCTGGCTTACCCACCTCCGCCGTATGTTCCGAATAGAAAATTCCATTTTTTAACCGATCCGGACCAAACTTGCCACACATACACTTCGAGCCCCGGCGGTTGTCACAGTCCACTTTTCGTTATCGATCGATGTCGATTTTATCAATTTTTTGCAAAATTTGAGCTAGGGGGCTGGGATTTGGCACAGGGGGGTAAGTGAGCATGGGGATTCCGAATACAATATTAGTTTTCAAAACCGTGCATTACTTTTATCGATTTAATCGATAAAATCGATATCCATCGAATACGAAAAGTAGCCTATGACACCCGCCGGGGCCCGAAGTGTATGTGTGCCAAGTTTGGTTCGGATCGGTTCAGAAATGGAATTTTCTATTCGGAACATACGTACATACATACAGACAGACATACAAACAGACATTCAGCTTTATATATATGATTGAAATTGTTCCAAGTATTCATCCTTTTCTTTGAAACATGAGTTTTTTATGAGAAAGCACATAATAATCCATAATCCTTACTTTTCTTCACAGGTGGTGTTACGCCTGTTGTCGTAGAAGGACCGATAATTGCGGATCAATGAGGGCACAATTTTTGCTTTTGCGTGGTCTAATAATCGGCTTTCGAGAAGAATTAGTCACTGATAATTGAATTTCAAGACGCTTTCGAAGTTTGCTGTTTGGTGCATTTATTCGACAGCAATTTTTTTAAAATTAAAGACTTTCAGAAAGATTATCGAAATCATCAAAGCCGGTTAGAAAATGAGAAACAATCATGGGATTGTCAAGCACGAGATATGGTGCTCCTTTTTTTTGAGAACTTATGACTCATATGCAGGATATAATATGTAACTCACACTTTTATACGTATCTTTGCGCCGGTATAGAAATTTTATGTTACGGGGAGGGGGGAGGGGTGGTGACAGCACTTTTTGAGGAATGGTTAGCCATATTCCGCTATGATCTTTGAGATGCATTCTTATCTTGCGAAACCCAATCCGAGATCTCAGGAAAAGGAAGCGTAGCGGCAGCAAAAAGACTTTGAAAAATTTCGCAAGGCTGTCTTGGATTTTTGAGAATTTCTGGGGTTTACATAAAAACTCAAGCACTTGATTTCATAACTCACCTGAACTTTCCAACTACGATTCTGGAGAAGGCTCCCCTCTCTGCCGGCTATGTTATATTTTTCTTCAGTAAAACTCAAGGAGGCCTCATCTTATTGGCGAAGTTGTTTGATGGCATTTGCGTATATGAATATAACCCTAAAATATTTGCGCAAAGTTGAACCTTAAAGGGTGGGGGGGGGGGGGGGGAGATCGAATACTATGTCTCGCTCACTATATATGTCATCATCTTTCGCAGTGCCTCATTGTATCCCAAATTTGTAATTCAAGTCGTAAGAAAAAACACTTCTGCGGGAAATCGTAAATAGGCAATAAAGTGAGTATGACAGGGAGCAAAACTGAGAGCGGCACATAATGGTTTGAAAACAAATGTTGTGAGATGAAGACAATTATAGAGCTTAGAAAAATGACGGTTGCAAAAATAGGCAGATTTGTTCTAATTTTTTTGGCCAAAGCTGAATTCGTTTTCTTGAATCTCCGACTACAGAATGCTCTAACTGTGTCCTTCTACTCAATTAATACCATCCTTCCAGTAATAGAATAGACCAGGAAGTAAGAGATACTCGAGCGTTGGGATATCACTAATTATGGTTTTTTTTCTAATAACTAACTTGAACAACCAAAGGGGTTTTTTTTTCTATTTGAGTCTAATGAGCCAAATACGAGGCAATCAAAAGGCTAATATTCTGTCTTTTTATATTAGGTTGGCTCGAAAGTTTTGGGACATTTTCGAACTAGATCTGCTATTTCTCGAAACCTAACGCATATACATTACTTATAGGTACCATTCGATAGAGCGAAGCAAGCTCTACAAGATGGTATGCAAAAGTTCGTACCAGCTTCAACTCTCTGTAAGTTTGCACCCGAAATCTGAATCATACTAAAATTCAAAAAATCAAATTCTTATCTTTGTTCAAACAAATCCTACGGATTTCCAACTTGCTCACAAAAATTGCACACCACATCAGACACTCATATGCACCTTTCCTGTATTTTTTTCCTCATCTTGAAATCGAGAAAACGAAAATTTTTATGCTTATATAAAAACGAAGCTGTGCTGTTTCCACCCATGTAATTGGATAGTGCAAGCCCTTGGAAGTATAACCGTAGATTTTCAGCTCTCCGTAAGGCCTAGTGATCGAAAAATATTGATTTTGGCATGGAACACCCGAGTGAGGAGAGCTCAATTCGGTAATTTTCAGGAACTAAGACCTGTAGAAAGCTGAAAATTTACGGTTATGCTTCCAAGGGCTTGCACTATCCAATTACGTGGGTGTAAACAGCACAGCTTCGTTTTTACATAAGCATGAAAATTTTCGTTTTTTCGATTTCCAAGTGAGGAAAAAATACAGGAACGGTGCATATGAGTGTCTGATGTGGTGTGCAATTTTTGTGAGCAAGTTGGAGATCCGTAGGATTTGTTTGAACAAAGATAAGAATTTTTCGCGATTTTTTGAATTTCAGTACGATTCAGATTTCGGGTGCAAACTTACAGAGAGTTGAAGCTGGTACGAACTTTTGCATACCATCTTGTAGAGCTTGCTTCGCTCTATCGAATGGTACCTATAACTAGCAGATCTAGTTCGAAAATGTCCCAGAACTTTCGAGCCAACCTAATAAATAAGGAAGTTTTCCTTGATAGAACCCAAACAGTTCTGTACAGATTTTGCTTGAAAAATTTAATGATTA